CGCTAAGCCCTAAGCCCCAAACCCTAAACCCCAAGCCCTGAACCCTAAAGCCTAAACCCTAAGCCCTAAGCCCTAAAGCCTAAACCCTAAGCCCTAAGCCCTAAAGCCTAAACCCTAAGCCCTAAACCCTCCAGCCTCCAGCCTTCCGCCTGAAAGGGGCCCGAAACCCCAGGTTTAGGGTTTAGGGTTTAGGGTTTAGGGTTTAGGGTTTAGGGTTTAGGGTTTAGGGTTTAGGGTTGAGGGGTTTAGGGTTTAGGGTTTAGGGGCCCAAAACCCCAGGTATCACAAGGTGACGGCGAAGCCTGCGGACTTGCGCTGAGAAGCTGGGCATGCCCAGGGCCCTCAGCGGGCTGCATCAAGCCTTCAACCGGGCAAGGCACTAAGAAGGGTAAAGAGGCTTAGGGTTTAGGGTTTAGGGTTTAGGGTTTAGGGTTTAGGGTTGAGGGTTTTTTTTTGTCAAGGGTTCTACCGAGAGCTGTTCTTCGAGTTTATCAGAGCTCCAACACCCTATGCAGCCCTTCGAGAAGCATCGAGCAGCGTTTCGAAGATACCCTATGAGGAAGATCATCAGTCTCGAAAACCACAGGGTTAGGGTTTAGGGTTTAGGGTTTGGAGGTTCAGGGTTTAGGGGTTTAGGGGTTTAGGAGTTTAGGGTGTAGGGTGTAGGAGTTTAGGGTTTAGGAGTTTAGGGTTTAGGGTTTGAGCGGCTCCATCTTTGTACATAGTGTGGCGTGCATCCAAAGGTGATGCAGCAACTTCTGTCAAGATGGCAGAGTTGCAAGAAATCTCTCCTGTCGCAGCGGAAACTTCCGAGTGAAAGCATCTAGGGCCCCGTGGGTTGCTCCCATCCGAACCTTAGATGTAGATATGTTTAGGGTCTAGGGTTTAGGGTTTAGGATACGAATTCAAGGGTTTCCTTGGCAGGTTGGTAGCCAGGCTGTGTGTGTTGACTCAAAGGGATTTTCGAGCCTACCTGAAATGTCAGAAGACGGGCAGCTGTTGGCGTGCATTAGGCACAGCCCCAAGCTTGTACTCAGTAGCTGAGTGGATACACTTTACACTTTTTGGGCTAATATTACCTACTATAAAACTGAAAGTGTACACTTTTCTGGGCTGATGAACTCAGCAACTAAGTGTACGACACTCGTCGCAACACTTCGATACCCCAAGCCCTAAACCCTAAACTAAACCCTAAACCCCAAACCCTAAACCCCTAAACCCCTAAACCCTAAACCCTATAAACCCTAAACAACCCGGAGCTCATGAGGCCGTAGGTGCACAACATCGAAGGGAGGCCAGAAGCTGGAGGTCGTTACCTCTGGGAGGGGAGCCGCAGGCCCTTAGTCCCCTACTGTAAACTGCCAGCCCTAAATCCTAAACCCAAAACCCTAAGCCCTAAACCCTAAAGCCCTAAAGCCCTAAACCCTAAAGGCCGAAATCCTAAACCCTACAGCCTAAAGCTCTAACTCCTGGAGCCCTACGCCCAAAGCCCCCAGCCTCGGAAGAAGAGAGGGGATGAACAAAAACCCAAACCTGGACCGCAAAGTGCCCAAAAGCACACTTTCATAGCACCCCGCCCCCCCCTTGCGAAAGAATTTTAACCCCCGGTAGCTAGGGACCCTGAAGCCACGCCGTCTTTATGCAGAAGAAAAATGCTTTGATGTAGGGACCTTAATCATTACCTATACTATTTTGAGGCTTCCCTATTAGAATTGAAATAGTATAATATACCCCGAAACCCTATTCTAATTTGTAAGGTCCCCAAATTATACCCTTATAGTAACCCTTTTAAAAGGAACGCTATTCTAAGTATTAAGGCCCCTACATTAGGCTTTTAGGGCTTTAGGGTTTGGCAGCTTTGATCTCTCTGTTTCGCACCATGTGGTTGTTTTGGGGTTCCAGGTTTCGGGGTTTTAGGGGTTTTAGGGGTTTAGGGTTTCGGGGTTTTAGGGGTTCAGGGCTTTTAGGGGTTCAGGGCTCAGGGTTTTGGCTTGATGCCTTGATCTCCTCCGCTGGTGGGGTGGCACTTTGGCTTAGAACTTTGGCGTATCCCTGGAGGACATTGCCACGCAACAGCCCCAAGCCGAAGCCCTAAACACTAAAGTCCTCAACCCTAAACCCTAAAACCCCCAAGCCCTAAACCCTAAAACCCTAAAGCAATACCCAAATCCATCAACGCTAAGCCTGTCAACCAAGGACCTGATACACTTTACACCCTGAGCCCGTGGAACCAGTCATATAGGGGCCCTAATAAATTTGATAGGGTTTTGAGGCCCATTATACTATAATTATTCATAAGGAACCCCCAAAATAGTGTAGGTGGGGTTTTAGGGCCAGTTTAGGGCCTCAGGGTTCGGGGTTTAGGGTTTTTGGTTTAGTGTAGGGGCTGAGGGTCTAGGGCCTAGGGTTCAGGGAGTTTAGGGTTTAGGACTTCTGGGTCTAGGTTTTAGGGTATCGGGTTTTGGGATCTAGGGCAGCATGACCTTGACCTTCGGGCTTGTTCTGAAGGTTTAGGGTTTAGGGTTTAGGGTTTAGGGTTTAGTCAAACCCCTTTATTGCATGGCTTGTAAGGAGAAGTTTGAACTGTCTTAGGCCTGTTTTTACGAAGGATGGAGGCAACATGGCGCGGTGTAGACATTCCTGCGAATCCCTCAGTTTCCGATTCTTCACCACGCCGGCTTAAGGACGGAGGAGCGGCCTTAGTCGTAGCTCATCATCCATCCTGGGCCACATATATCCCAAAAGCCCTCAATATGCAAACCCTTAACCATGATCCCTTAATCGCTTACTATACGGGCCTTGATACTTTTAATACGGTTTGGGGTGTATGAACTATAATTATAGTAAGGCACCGCAAAACCCTATTCTAATTATTAAGGCCCGTACATTCATCGTTTCATGCCTGATTCCTAAACCCTCAACTCCTAATCCTTGAACCCCTTAACCCTTACACCCTAAGCCCCCTAAACCCTAAACCCTAAACCCTAAACCCTAAGCACCCTAAACCCTAAACCCTACACCCTAAATCATTAAAAAAACAAAGCCTTTAAGAATCCCCGGCTGGGACTGCTACTCCGAACTAACCCGGATGGAACAAGAACTAGGGCCGAGCATGATGAACCACCTTAGGTTTAGGGGAACCCTAAACCCGAGGGTATAATATAAAGGCCTTAGTAATTTGAATAGGGTTTTGGGGCCCATTTTACTATAATCGTAATAAGGAGCCACCAAAACCCTATTCTAATTGCTAAGGCCCAGGGTACATTATGGCCCTCAATCCTGCTTCCCAAACACTAATCTCTAAGTTAGATCATGCAGTGGTCATGACGACAAAGCGGACTTGCGTCGCCGTGACCGCGACCGCCGCGCTGGTCTACATCTTCGCCGCTTGGTGGCTCTGTTCTAGGAGATCTGAAGACAGAGTCAGGTTGCTGTTGCTGTTCATATATGTTTATACATAGATATATGTATATATATATATATGCATATGTATACCTATATATGTATATATATATATATATATATGCATATGTATACTTATATATATATATATATATACATATAGACATATACATATATAGACACAGGCAATTGATCGCTGTTTCTAATTCTGCTGAACTTAACATTGAACTCCGTTCATACCCGCGACACGGGGCCGGAAAGACAGAAGGTGGAAACGTGAGGAAAAGGGCTTGCGCGAGCCGACCTGGAATTCAGGGATTAAGGTCAGCGATATGCCCGTTTCAAGTCGAAGGCAGTTGAATGTCCCATCCAGATTCCCGCTTAGATAAGCTGTAAAAAGCCAATACTGTGACCCGTAGATTCCCCACAACCCGTAAGATATCCCTATGTGAAAACAGAATCCTGAATAACTAGCCGTGCTGTTGTGCTATTTCTCAATCGTACAACGCACCCAAACCCTATTCAAATTTCGTGTTGTATAATTAAAGCAATATTCTTAACCCTTAGAGCAACCCTACAAAGAACCCCTAAAGAAACCCCAGTGTAACCCTGAACCCTAAACCCGAAGCCCTGAACCTTAAAC